ACCAAACCATCTTAGTTTGTTCTCTCTTAACATATTTTCAATTGGTGCTACTCCTACCATTTAATGTATATTCATTTCTATTTCTCTCTGTCCAAAACTTACCAAACACCCACCTAAGCATCCTCATCTTAACTACACTCATTTCATGAGCTTGTTGTTTCTTAATTGTCCAATATTATGTAAACTGCAAAGTATCATTGGTCTTACAATTGTTTTATAAAATTTTCTTTTCAATTTTGTTAGCATCATTGATCACATAATATGCCAAAGGCACTCCACTTGAACCTACTTTGATTCTATTACAGGTGGGTATGTATGTCAGAGAGAGAGAGAGAGTGAGTGTAAGTGTGTGTGAGAAAGAAGACTGAGTGCTGGTTTTGATTTTTTTGTTCAATTTTTACATTTTGGTTAAAAGTGTGGTTATCATCCACAGGTCAACAGTAAAAGCGTGGTTTGCAACCACGTTTTCTGAAGAAAAAAAAAATTACTTAAAAGCGTGGTTCCTAACCACGCTTTATGTATAAATCAAATTTTCTTAAAAGCGTGGTTTGTAACCACGTTTTCTTAATTAAAAGCGTGGTTTGTACCACGCTTTTATGCCAGAAATGTTTAAATCTCTTATGTAACCTACACAATTAAATAAAGAAAATACGTAAAATAGTATTTTGAGGTTAATATAGTCATTTTGTCTTTTATTTGAGAGAACATGATCTTTTCATTTATTATTTTGAAGTCAATAAAAATATATTTTTTTTGAATAAAATAGAATCAAAATTAATTTTTTTTTTTTTTGAATAATTTCATTTAATAGATATTAGTTTCATGAAATTTAACTTAGGAAAAAACGTTAATCTTTCCATACACTTAGTATTTTTAATTACAACGATTTTTTTAGCATGATACGTTAATATGGCACGAATCAGACATGAATCCAAATAACATGACACAATAACACAAAATAATAATAATAATAATACCGTGTTAGTGTTAAGAGAATTCTGACACGAATTTGAGATGACATGACACAACACAAACACGATGCCCACCCTTAGATTCTATGGATCACTTCTCTATTATTTTTACTTCCATTGTTACTAAAGTTACATATTCAATTTAGCTACTAATTTTAAACCCTTTTGACTCAAATGATTATCTCCAAATTTTTAGTGTTAATTCCTCCCTTAGTTTCATCCACTAGAACAATATCATTTGCGAACAACGTACACCATGGGACATTATCCTGATTGTGTTTACTTAATTCATCCATGACTATGGCAAATAGGTGAGGACTCAAAGCTTACGTTTGGTATAGGTCCTACAATGATTGAAAATTCACTAGCTTCTCCAACAGGTGAACTAATTGTGATCACAACCTCATTATATATATTTTTATCACATCAATATACTCCTTGGTTACATTTTTTTTCCCTCTAACACCTACTATATTGTATCTCTAAGCAACGTATCGTAAGGTTTTTTTCTAAATCTATAAAAAGTATATGAAAACCCCTCTTCTCTTTTCACTTTTTCATTAATCTACTTAGTAAATATATGGTTTCCACAATTGATTGGCCTAGCATAAATCCAAACTAATTAACTAACACTTACCCTCTATCACAATCATTTTATGAATCATCAACACATCTATAATTGTTGCAATTTTAGATATTTCCTTTATTTTTATATATAGATACAAATATACTTTTTCTCCACTCATCATACATTTTCTTAATCATTAGAATCTTATCAAATAATTTTGTTAACCAAGAGCTAAGCATTTTCAATGTCAACAATAAGAATACAATCCAATCCCAATGCTTTACCTAATTTCATCCTCTTCAATATAAATTCCACTTCAAACTCCTTTATTACATGACAAAACTTATACTCTCTAGTTCCATCAATGCTACCATATTTCTCTCCTAAAGTTTCTAAATGTTTTTCATTTAACATTTTCTCAAAATAACATTTTCATCTTTACATAATATCCTCATCCTTCACTAAAACCCTCGAATCCTCACTTTTTATACACTTAACCTTTTCAAAATCTTTTGTTTTTCTTCCTCTCAATTCAACAAAGTTTGTAAATATTTTTTCTCTTTTTAATAGAGATGATCTAATACCTGGATGATGTTGAAGCAATATCTTTCCTAGGCTGTCTAAGAGCTCGGCCCAAGTCTGTGAACATTTTGGACAAAGTTCGTGTGGAACTCAACCCGGTCTAAAGAGGTTGGTGTGATTATGTTAAATTTGTAAGATATTATCTTAAGAGATGTGAGTGTAATTTATCCGATATGTTTTGACTTACGAATAGAAATATATAATTTATAAAATATATCTAAAACAACAATTATAATATGTATAAGAAATGTATCAAACTCTAAGATTGATTACTTAATTAGTCATTTTATACCTTTCGTTTTATTTTAGTCATTGAAATGAGATAGAATGACATAAAAATGGTCATTTTTTAGTCTCCCATCTAGAATCATTATTCCCTTATAATAATAAATGATTATTCCATTTATAATAAATTTTTGTCTTAATAAATCATTAAGACAAATAATAATTTTTAATGATATTAAAAATATATTTCAATTACCAATTCTCATAAACTAGAAGCATCAGCGGTTATATGAATTTTATAATATGAATTTCAATTCTCAATTCTCAATTATATGAATTTCATAATATGACATTACCAATTCTCAATTATATGAATTTCAATTCTTATAATTTTATTCTTAATTAAAAAAAAAATCCTTTTATTAACAAGCAAAAAATAAAATTTCCAATTCAACAAATATAGGTTGGTTTATTCACAATTCAAAATTCCAAACCCTAATTTCAAAAAATATAGACAGGATTCACAATTCACAATGCAAAAAATATAGACACGATTCAAAATTCAAAACCCTAATTTCTGAAACCCTAACCCTAATTTCTGATTTCACAATTCAAAATCCTAACCCTAATTTATGATTTCACATTCAATTGAAAATCCTAGAAAATTTTCACAATTCAAAACCACAACGTTTTACCAATTCAAAACCACACATTCACATTTTCACAAACACAATAAACACATAAAATTCAAATGAGACAAAGAGAGACAGATGCCATACCAGCGAGAGAGAGCAACCCACGGACGGAGAGAGAGCAGAGAGAGAGAGAGTCTGAGAGCAGAGGGAGAGCGAGAGCGAGAGCGAGAGCCAGAGTCTGAGAGTAGAGCAGAAGGGAGACGGAGAGCGAGAGTAAGAGTCGAAAAAAACGTAAGTGTAAAAAACGTGATTGCAAATGAGGGGGCTTGGGGGTTTTTATATAAGTTGTAAAAGCATGGTTACGAACCATGCTTTAATTTAACCACGGATTTTACATTCAACAGTGAAAGCGTGATTGTGAATCACGTTTTCTTAAGAAAACAAGTATGCACAGTGAAAGCGTGGTTTGGAACCATATTTTCTTTAGAAAACAAATGCACAGTAAAAGCGTGGTTTGGAATCACGTTTTCTTCAGAAAATAAAAATTTAATTATAAGCACAGTAAAAGCGTAGTTTGAAACCACGTTTTCTGAAGAAAACAAATTTTGCTTAAAAAGGTGCTTTCTAACCACGTTTTATGTATAAATGAAATTTCCTTAAAAGCGTGACTTGTAACCACGCTTTCTTAATTAAAAGCGTGGTTTATAATCACGCTTTTACTATTTCACAAATTTTTCACGGGAGTGGCCTGGAAATAGTGAAAGCGTGGTTTATAATAGCGCTTTAACCTAATTTGAAAATTTCGTCCAAATTAAGCCTAATTTAAAAATTAAATTACTATTTTAACTTAATTTGGGAAAAGCCTCCGTATTGTTTGCTCTGTTTGGTTTAGTTAGTGGGTGGAATAAAATGATTTTTTTATCTTAATATCTATTTCAATGCTTACCTGTGCTTGATTCACTAAAATGCAGGTGAGACTGGAATGACTATTTCAATAAAATGTTTATTCTTATGTCCGGTTCATTAAAATAATGATAAAATATATATTATAAATTAAATTATTATTCAATATTGTAAATAAATAATAAGAAATTAACATTTAATTCTAATGAAGTTATGGTAGAAATTTGAATCATAATTGTAGGTGCAAATTGTTTATGGGAGGCCGAAGTAAACTAATTAATAATAATTAATAATTTAAATTTGATACCAAGAAAAATTTATATTTCTTTGCAATTGAACCTATAATAACGGGAAAGACTATGGTACACACCTCTCAAAAGGTATGTATCATATGTATCTTATAATTTAAAAAAAAAAAAAAAAAAAAAAAAAAAAAATGAAAAAAAAAGACATAATTTCATACTTTTTGAATCATAACTTAAAAAAAAATCACAATCAAACACCATGTAAGATATAATCTCATAAGTCATAATTAAAATAAAAAATCGGTTAAACTAAAAAAAAAAATAATATAACAATATATACATATGATAAGAAGTGTATCCGATAGAATTCTTCCATAAGGAGATGGAGGAGAAACTACTCAATTCTCTTTGATGATACCTCAGTTCATTTATTAATTGACACTATTCACACTGCTTTTGCATAGTTGAAGTTAATAACTATTAATTTAGACTCCCATTTAAATTTATTTTTAGAATATAAATAATTTCTCAACATGGAAAGTTATTTTTCATCAATGATTGAAACCTCCACAAATTTAAATCATTCATGATTTAAACTCCATATATACATGAATAGGTTCTACACATACATAGAAAGTCCGGATCACTTTAAGAGTGTAGAGATCATCCCCAAAAGAGGTTCCAAACATTTTCCTTCTAGTAAACACTTCCATCATGTCATAATTTTCGGATAGTAACTCATGTTCAACTCTATTACTGTTCTAAAAAATCATAATTTGACTTGTATTTAGCTTCTTTTTTTTATGACGACTTGTATTTAGCTTGTTATATAAACAAATCAAGTTCAAACACATCAAAACTCATTAAATTGTCATACTAAATTTGAACAACTTATTACTTGACTCAACTAACTTGTTTACAGCTCTATCCTCAAATGCTACACGATGCTCCCCGAATTCATCCATGATAGAAAGAAAAAGTGTAATAAAAATTAAGCACAACATTTGTCATTCGATAATCCTATCCTCGAAGAGGTGAGGAGAAATAAATCAACAAAATCATGAACCAGGACTAATATATGTTAGCTCAAATGATACACCTCCTGGCCAAAGATGCAGATTTTGTATTATCAAGGCTTTTGTATTATCAAGGCTTCTATCAAAGCTTTGAACTCAAAAGTGCTTATTTAGATTTCTTTTGTTGATCAGAAACCCTCGATCCCATAATCTTGCAAACAGGTTGATCCTTCGACTGAATAAGCTTTAAAGCCGGATGAACATTGAGGTCCCCCATCACCAGCTTCTGGCCCACGTCCAACTCGCTCAGATCCACCTCTATATGGGGAGGGATGACATCAGCAGGGCAAAGGAACTTAACGGTTCTCTTGATAATGTTCAAATAAGCACCTGGCATGTCCAAGAAGTACCGGTAAATACAGCACAACATTGGATTGACCACAAACTATAATAAGTGGACAAAACAAAATAATACCAACAGCAACAACAACATATTAATAATATAAATAAAAACTTGTCATTGGATCAAATAATAATAATCAATGCAAAGCTTTGTCCTTGGATAAAAAAACCATTGCGAATTGAGATGAAATAATATGTTGATGTCTGGAAAATATATTATGACCGTAGTGGCAGCATATCCTAAAACTTTGTTGGATCAAAAAAGCTTCCTCAAGTTGCTCTTTGAAAGCAGTCTTGGAAACATAAGGGACAATCACTGCAAAGCTAAAATATATATATATATATATATATATGGAAACGAGATAGAAACGCCTACACAACAACTTTCAAAAAAAAAAAAAAAAGAACAAGGCACGACATGATAGGGACATGACAACAAATCACACATTTAAAAAAAAAAAAAGACATGGTGTTCGAGTTTACTTTGGGAACAATCACACATTTCATCAGGACCAACATACCGTCCTATTTGAATAGACTAAATACTTTCAAATACAACATTTGAAAATTGAAAACTGAACAATAAATTTGTCTATCAAGATTATAAGTGAAAATCATGTTCCTCCAAGATAATTGAACATTCAGTGACAAATCAAGTCGAACTAAAATTTTAGGACCTTTTTAACAGAATTTCCAATTGTGGCTGCTGAATAGAAGCCTTAGAAGTACACAAACTTGAGTGCTTAGTAGTGTTAACAAAAAACCTGTTACTTTCATCATTGTAAAATTCAAAAAAAAATTTAGAAACTCTGCATCAGGGTGAGCAACAAACATGAATTTGGAGACCCAATGCCTAATCCATCTATGCTTGATGTTTTGGCCTTAGGCTCTAGTGCCCCAAATTTGTGCTTGTAGTCACATTTGTGTCTAAAAACTTAATCCTACTTCAATTTGTGACTTCAAATTCCCCAGCCATGACTTTCATGCTGATTTGATGCCAATAGACCGATCATCTACATAACATAGTAATCAAAGTGAAGTTCAAAATCTCTCGATTGAAAGTCACAGATTCAGTATTTTCACCAAACTAGAGACTCCCTTTCACACTAAACGCAAATTAATAGCCTAAAAAGTTCAAACTTAAGCCCATGATCCTTTTAACCACAAAATAATGTGAAATATATTACGAACTAGTTTATTCAATATCATTAAAAGAGAACAGTTAAAAAAAACACCACCGATAAAATCCACAACATTCTGAAATCCTCATAGAAGTGGGTATTATCCCTTTCTTTCAAAACACACAATCAGAAGGGAGTTCACTATTCTTGAAATAGATGCACCAAGGGTCATAGTAGTTTTATTGGGCTTGTCAAGAAGAATACAAAAGAAATAATAGCCAACAGTTTCACTTGCCAAGGGCAATGGCTAACAGTGGTTCTCTCAAATAAGCAATCTAAGCATTACTTACTGCTTATTTCAGAAGAAATAAAGATTAAAAAAATAGTGTGAAATATAGTTTAGTCAAAGTTTTCACTCAGTAGCAAAACTAGGTTAGGTGAAGCATAGCAGATAAATAGTTTAAGAAAGTATTCAGCAGCCTCCAAAGAATGAAATAAAATACTCAGGAAATGAATTAATTTGTAATTCTCTAAGATTGGAAGAAGTGAGTCTTCTTATTAAGCCTCTGCACATGAAAATCAATAGTTTAACAACTCTACAAATAAAACTCACATACAGAAGAACATAATTATCAAGAAGTGTGTGAGATCCATGCATGAAGAAGCCAACAGTAGAAAGCCTTTGCTTCTAAGACGACAACAACCATACATCAAACAGCAAGTTCAAACTATTGCCCTATAGGCAAGGTTTTAAAAAGCGGCCGCAACCATTACGTAGTAACGGCGTTACGTAACGGTTGTGGTAGTTACCGCTTCAGGAAATTAATTAATTTGTAATTCTCTAAGATTGGAAGAAGTGAGTCTTCTTATTAAGCCTCTGCACATGAAAATCAAGAGTTTAACAACTCTACAAATAAAACTCACATACAGAAGAACATAATTATCAAGAAGTGTGTGAGATCCATGCATGAAGAAGCCAATAGTAGAAAGCCTTTGCTTCTAAGACGACAACAACCATACATCAAACAGCAAGTTCTAACTATTGCCCTATAGGCAAGGTTTTAAAAAGCGACCGCAACCGTTACGTAACGCCGTTACGTAACGGTTGTGGTAGTTACCGCCACCTGTTATGGCTACTTTTGCAGTGCGATTGAGATTCACAGGTGTATCGGCCGTAACGGCTGCTATAACGGTCGTAACGGTGCTGTAACGGCCGTAACGGCTTGTTACGCACCATTATGTAACGGTTCCGAATTGCTTCTTTCGAAAAAACACACAAAAAAAAAAAAGTTGAAAATGGGAGAAGAGAGATAGAGGGAAGAGGGAAGATAGAGGAACAAGAGATAGAGAGAGAGAAGTGGGAAGATAAAGAACATGTTATTGATTTGTTGAAGCTGTAAGACCTATATTATTCTATTCAGTTGCCATCACTCAACCATTTTGTTTGTATGTGTTTATCTATATATTGTTTAATAATAATAATAATAATAATAATAATAATAAGTGTGGTCATTATCTATTTGGCTTGATTAATATATATATATATATATATTTAGGTTTTTATTTATTCTCTTACTTTTGTCATTGTTTATCTTATATATAATAGTTAGTGATTGATTTTTTGTATAATATAAAGTCATTAATTATTAAAATAAAATGTAAAAAACTCAGTTTATAGTGATTTAAAAATATGAAATATATTGGATCAAACTTAAAAATTTATAAAAATTGATCAATATTTATTTTAAAACCCAATAAATATGATCATGAAAAAAAAATGTGCGTATCAGTAAGTTTTTTTCAAATTGTGCGAAAAATAAAAAAATTCACGGTTCCGGTTACCGCAACCGTTATGCTACAGCCTTTGCACCCTACAACCACAACTGCGCCACCGCCACCGTTACGGCGACCGCAACCGCTTTTCAGAACCTTGCCTATGGGGGAAAAAAATTCCATAAAATTGAAAACAAAAAATATTGCCAAGGCCATATAATTATTAACAAAACCTTAGACATCAATCATCATCACACCACTCACAGTTGTAGTATACATAACATTAGCAATAGAGAATTTCTCACCAAAAATGATAAACACCCAAGTCGCTTGAGAGTTTAAAAAGATAAGACAAAGCAAAGCTTCACAAGTTGTCTAACTAAAAAAAACCTTCACAACTTATGCACAAGGCTGAAGAAAACCTCCATTTTCACCATACCTTTTTTTAGTCCAGGTGAAACATCATCTCCTATAAATACAAGAGGAACATCCACCTTCAACAAAGCATGAGATGGGGCCCTTATGAAGGTCACATTGAGTACTGCATCTGTACCCGCATGCAGATGAATCTGAAACAAGTAGAGATAGATAAAATCAGAATGTGACAAACTGAGAAGAACTTCAGATGATGAAACCATGTTAGAAGTATAGACAAATTCTCAAAACCAGAAGACATTAGATAGCAACTCCTAAACTAGAATCAAACAATGCTTCATGTGCCCCTAATCAACAGGAGTTCCTTTGAACTCCAACTAAACTATGTCAGTGAGCTCTCCTTGCAAGCACTTATGTCTTGGCCCCACGCTGCTAGAGGCCACAAGGCCTTGGGCCTAACTAAACTACTTACACACACCAATTTAGGACAAGTCCATGGAGTTAAATTCTCACACTTCCTAATTTGACAGCCTATATACAAGTAAACAGAAAAATAATCAAAGATGAAATTTAAATGGTAGCTTTGCCATGCCATGTTTCTGCAAGCATATTTCTATGCCACTTGCAGTGGCAATAGTACTCATAAGATTATGAATTTAATAGATAAACCATATTGTACAATAAAGGAAAACATTGAAAATCCCAAATGACGATGAGCAATGAGAAATTGGACAGTTTGAATCGTTCACTTTGCCGGCAAACACTGTATGTTGACATTATATGTCATAATCTTGATTTCATTAAGTTTCGAAATGTAAGCAATATGAACTCTGCAGTATTTGTGGAGGCATTCACTTTCCACCTTGTGGCAGCTCCACTCTGCTGTCAAGTACCTTAAGATGATGGCACTCTTGCCCTCCAAAAAGCTAACTCCATCCATGTCCCAAACTTAGGCTATGGTTTTATTTACCCCCAAATGTTACACCATCTCCCACCCTTGTTCAAATCTAGACTGAAACTTAAATTTGAGTAAAAAGCCACTAAAATCCCCTCGGCTCTTTTACTCAAACTAAAAACCCAATGGAGTCTTACTCAAATTTTTACTCAAACCAATGTAGACCCCATTTCTTTTACTCAATATTCTATCCAATCCAAACTTGACATTTGGGCACTTTTGCCCAAACTTTCCAATGATCTCCTTTACACCACTCAAACTGGACACTTGCCAATTTTACTCAAATTTGAGTTTTAGTGCTTCATATAGAGATGGCTTTACAAACCCAAAAACCCAACCTTTAGCCAAATGGCTTGTTTGGGAGATTTGGAGCTGTATCATATGGTTCTCATATATATATATATATATATACATATATATTTTGGCTGATGGTGTTCCAGGTTCTCAAATCAATTCATCCTCAACACATTTCTAATTTTTGTTAACTCAATTAAATACTCTTTCATTCTAATCAAATTCAGAACCCTAGAGAAACTATAAGAAATTAGAAACAAAGAAAATCAAAAATGGCATACCTTTCGAGGCAACACCCGAACTTTTTCAATGATCTCATCGGACTCGAAATCAGACCGAACCTCAAGATCGAAGAGTCTAGAGAGAAAGAACGATCTTCCTAGATGGTTTACGTGATCTGATTGGTATGGACAGAGATGAGACGCTTGTTGCCACCGTGCTGACCATCCTCTTGCTCGAACACAATGCTCGGGACGCGACCCACCTTTCGTTCCTTGGCGGAGATGTTTTTTCCGGTTGTGGCGCGTGGGACGGCGCGTATGATCTCGGCATATTTGGGGTCTGGTTTGGGCAAGCCTTCGAGGTATGTGAGTGAGAGTTCGGGTTCTTGAATCAGCGCCGCCGCCGATGAGGGGCTGAAGTACCGGCGGTGGAGGGTTCTGGCGAGGAGTTGGCGGTAGACCCACATTGGTTGAGGATAGAGAAGGTTCAGGAATGCAGAGAGGCTAGAGAGAGATGAGGAAACAAACAAGAGGGTTTTTGATAGGGGTTAGTGGAGATGAGTGTGACTCGTATTGAACTCGTTGGTGAGTTTGCAAAACGGATGGTGTTTGGACGCAGGTGTAGACTAGTGCAAACTGTGAATAATATTTCCACATAATAAGAGGTTGTTTTGGGTGTGATATATAAACGTACTTTTTATTATTTAGGTCAAGTTTGGCATCTACTAAATAATATAAAAAGTTAAAAAGTTACTATCCTATTTAAGTCACATCATCTTATTTAAATCACATTACCTCTCTAACACATCGCATCAAACCCAACCCAAACCTAACCCATATAAATCAATAAGTCAAAAAGTGCACTTTTTTAGAACATCCCAAACCAACCCTTAATAAAAAGTTTAAAAGTGTACTTATTTACATTATCCTTGATGATATAGTTACTACACAATGAACTTATGATACAGTTACTACACAACGGGTCCCAGGTGGAATGGATCGGACTAATCCACGCTTCTTCAACCGGTAACTGAGTGTTCAAGCTCACCAGAGAACCTACACACAAGTTCAATAGGGGAACGGGGAGTCCCCCAGTAAACCCTCCGACGAGCAAGTTAGAGAGAGAGAGAGAAGTGTAATGTAGAGATATGAATTGGAGATAGAAAAACTTAACCTTCTTCTTGTCTTCAACGTTTGCTTATATCCTTTGGTCATCAATTCGCTGTCCCTTCAGACCTGCCATCTTGGCTGAAAGTCTATGCTGTAGCTTACCTTGATCAGGGTAAGGGGGTGCTGTTCCGACGGAGAGGTGTTGTCGTAATAAATGCTATGATGGGCTGCATTAATGGTGATGTGCAGTAGCAATAACTTTGCAGATCTTTGTCTGCTGATGTGGCTTGTCCTTTACCTGTCGTATGTCTGAATGTCATTGGCTCTTTATGCCACATTGGATTCCAGCTGTTCTGGACTTCACCAGTTAGGTTATGTATTGGGCTCCAAGTGATGGGCTTTGGTTGTTCATAGTGGGCTATGGCCTTTATGGGCTTACCCACGTCAATAATCCCCCATTCCTGAGTACAGCTTTAGTCCAACGAAGGGAATACTAATAAAGAGAATGAGGGTGTTAGAGATTGGCAGGATGGAGGTCGACCGGCAAGGGTGACCGAGTGGGTGAACCGACCGTGAGGTGGACCGACTGTGAATCGTGGCCGAGTGGAAGGGCCGACCACGAGGAGAGCCGACCGCAAAGGTCGGCCGAGTGGGAGGGCTGACCGCAAAGGTCGGCCGAGTGGGAGGGCCGACCATGAGGAGGGCCGACCGCGAAGGGTAAGTAGAGGGGCGCGGGGCTCAAGAGGCGGCGTGTCATGTGGTGATTTGAAGTGGAAAAGACAGGGTAAGGGGAGGAGACAGTGGATCGTGGTCGTATACGTAGCAACATCTCGCGGAGGAGATTAGGCGTTGGATCAGAAATGAAACGATAGGTCATTATGGGTGTTGAAAAGACAATTTTGGTGGATGTTTTGAAAAGTTTTCAAACTGGCGCAAATTAAGTGCGACCCTTGGAATACGGGCAAGCCTTGGGCTTTTGGCATTATTCGATTTACCTACTTCTTTGCGAAAAATCAAGACATCCCAAGTGTTAACTCCTTTATTGCTGATGATACACCTCTGCAACATTTTTTCAATTTCCTTGCACTGCATCCGAAGCGATTCGCAGACATACCATAGAAATGGCCTAAGAAAAAGCTATGAATGTCAGGGTGGATCCGCTTGGTGATGACGACGCAGTGGAGTTAGCAGAGCAGTATAGGACGGAGAGGTAAATGGAGAGGGTGGGGGAACCGGTGGTACGATCTCATGCTTCCACCATGATAGTAACTCCGAAGCCAATCAGCCAGGTGGAACCAGATCACTGGCACACGAAGGCTGACAAATCAACGGTTACCGCGGCGGAGTTGGAGGTTATTTGCGAAAAATACCAGGTGCCTGCTGAAATAGAGTTATTGTTGCCAACGTCAACGGAAAGGCCATCCGACGCAAGGGCGGGGGAGTTTGCCCTTTACGAGGAAGCATTGAAGGAAGGACTAAGGCTGCCACTGCCGCAAGTGGTGGTAGATGTCCTGAACCGTTTGGAGGTGGCACCGGGCCAACTAATGCCCAACGCGTGGAAGATTGTACTGGCCTGTGCAAGCGTGTGGCCGAAGGCGAACGAAGGGGCAGCCATGATAGTAGACGAATTCTTCGCATGTTATAAGGCCTCAGGACAACAAGAGACTTGGGTGACGTTGCAGGCGGCGGCAGGGAGGGGTCTGGTGGCGGGGCTGCCGTCATCAATTAAAGGTTAGAGGCTGCGGTGGTTCTATGTGTCTGCGAATGGAGGGGCTGGGGTGCGCACGGTGTGGAGAGTGCCTACCAAATCTGTAGAGCCAAAACTGGGAGCAGCGGCAGAGAAGAGAATAAAGAAGGTGAAGGCATAGCGGGAGAAGGAGGGGGTCAGGTGGGACGAACTCGTTCAACCCTCAGCCTTATTTGGAGCAGGGTTGGGTCCTCAGCAGAGCGGTGGAGATCTAGAGCGAGCTGAATTGGAGGCGAGGAGGAAAGCACAAGAGGCTGAGGATATGGCCATCTTTGCCAAAGCCAGTAAGTTCAAAGAGTCCCAGGACGACCGACCGCAAAAGCCGATTGAGAGGGAGCGGATCCGACCTCGTCCCAAACCCTTGGGGGAAAAAGACTTAGGTGGATTCGTGCCCCGACCGCCCCCAGTAGATCCTTTGAATGAGAGGGCTTTGAAGGAGATGGAGGTGGAAGGTGTGGTAAAGAAGAAGAGGAGAGTGAGGAGGAGTGAAGAAGAGCCTGCTGCGAAGAGGATGGGGGAAGTGATAGCAAAAGAGACCAGCATGGCCAAGGAGGTAAAGAAGGGGGGAATGGAGGAGACCCCAGGAGGGGTGGTCATCCCAGAAGTGGTGGAGATTGCCTCGGAAAAAGTGAAGGTCGTCCCAATAATGGTGGAGATCACCTCAGAGGTGGCGAGGGTCGCCCCCGAAATGCAGGTAGAAGGTGGGGCAACTGGCCGTGAGCCAAGGGGAGGAGAACAGCCCCAAGGGGGTCCTACGCCCCGAGGAGGGGGTATCAGGCTGACGACCGGGATCTACCACGCTCGGGCAATGGTTGGGCGGCTGGAGGGAGAAAAAGGCCCAGCCAGGGCAGGTGCAGATCGCCTTGTGGGGATCGTGGATGAGGCGGCTGTGCGCTCAGTAGCCAGATTCAATGAGGCTGAGTTGCTGAGAGGTTTATGCTCTGCTCAAATAGAGGTAACCACCTTAGCAGGAGCTCTGCTGAGAAAGGCGGCGGCTACAAAGATGAAGGCAGACGAGGCCAAGGCTCAACTTGCAAGTTTGAAGGAGGAGCGTGTAGGTTGGGAGAGTGCCCATGCTGAGCTGCGAGCGGTCAAGTTAGAGCTGGAGAACGAATGCCGCCAGGTTGTGTCGCTCAAGTTCCAACTGGCAGGCGAGCAGAAGAGGCTGGGGAATGCTCAAAAGGACTACGCGGTCGCCATCGAACGATTTGAAGAGGCTATGACCAACAATAAAAATCTGCGTGCCCAGCAGATAAAGGAAAAAGAAGACGCAGACCTGGAGATTGCTGGGCTGCAGAAGGAGTTGGAAGGTGAGCGTGTTAAGACAATGGAGGGAAGGGAGGGCCTGCAGAAGGAGTTGCAGGAAGAGAGGGCTAAGGCGGCTGCTGAAAGGGCGACCCTGCAAAAGGAGTTGGAGGAAAAGAGGGCCAAGGCAGCCTCTGAAAGGGCGACCCTGCAAAAGGAGTTGGAGGAGGAGAAGGCCAAGGCAGCCTCTGAAAGGGCGGCATACCCCGATCTGTGTGTTGCAGCAGTGGATCAGTTCAAGGGGTCTGCTGAATTTCAAATGGTAGTTGATGCCGCGGTCGCCAGCAGCTTGGTGAGGGAGAAGTCTAGGGGGGCGGGCCTGTCAAGGACGACCGTTGGAGGCAGGACTGAGGCAGAAGTTATTGAGAGCTTTTAGCGGTCTGACTTCTATAAACAAGAAATGGCTGAGTTCTGGGACAGTGGTTGGAAGATATTCAAGCGTAAAGCTGAGGAGCTGTTCCCAAACTTAGACCTGAGTAGTGTAAAAATTGACGACGACGATGTGGCCCAGATCCCCCTGGATAAGGGTATTGAAGAAGAAGACCTCGTGTCCAGTGAGGAGGAGTAATTGAAGAAGAAGACCTTGTACTTAGAGTTGTTTTTGTTTTTGAATTACTGTAATGAACTTATGCACAAATTTGTGAATAAATAAAATCTCAGTTGTGTTTTCATTCGATTGTCTGTACTTGTGCATCTGAAATGAATGAGAATGGTGGCTTGTGTGCATCTGCAAAGTGGAGGTAAAGTTGTAATAAAAACTAAATTTAAGAACTCCTCAATGTAGAGTGGAAGTGAATCTGTGATAAAAACTCAATGCAGAGTAAAGTTAAAGGCTCCTCAATGCAGAGTGAATTTTAAAATGTGATAAAATTATGAGTTTATGTTTGTCACACTACTAAAGTGGATGAGAATGGTTTACTGGAGTTAGGCTTGACTAGTAAGGAAAGAGGTTGACTTGTAAACGTTGATGGAGAAGAAAATAACCTGACTAGTAAAGGAAACATGTAAGAACGTCGTTGGAATTTGACTAAGTGAAAAGTGGTGTAAAAACTTGGACCTTGAATTATGACTAAGTGTGTCTACTAATGCCACAAGTATGCTTGCTCAGTTGGGGCTAAGCTGTGATTTACTGACGTTGCAAGTAACTCAGTTTGGACCTGGAATTGTGGCGTTCAGTTTGGCTGAGACTTGGTCTGGCCAAGTGCTTCATGCTCAGTCTAACTGAGGCTTTTAAAGCTCAGACTGCCTGAGGCTTTTGGTGCTCAGTCTGGCTGAGGCTGCTGGTGCTTAATCTGGCTGAGGCTTTTTGTGCTCAGTCTGGCTGAGGTTTTTGGTGCTCAGTCTGGCTGAGGCTGTTGGCGCACGGTCTGGCCGAGGCTTTTGGTGCTCAGT